ACTCCCAGAGGCACCGTCTCAAGGGTCATTATTGGGGGAAAGTAATTTTTGCCCTTAGCGAAGCAGCACCCCCAAGTGAGGCATTTTGCTTTCCCCCATGGAAGTGAATTGAAACTATTTTCTTGTATGGGAGGAAACAGACAGTTGCATTCAGAACTCAGGTGGGGATTCCCTGCTCAGGAAACTCTAGTAATTGAGAATCAAGGCTGCTCAGGTCTGCACAGCCTCATCTTGAGTTTTTCTTTGTGTTCCCCTTAAATTATGTGGAATTTGGGGAAACACTTTCTAATATCCTGTTTAGGGAAGTTTTTAATGACTGATGTTTCAATGTATTTTTAATCTTTTGTTGGAAGACGCCCAGAGTGGCTGGGGAAACCCAGCCAGATGGGTGAGGTATAAATATATTATTATTATTATTATTATTATTAATTATTATTATTTACAGATTTCTTGAGGAGTGTTGTTGCTTTGCACCATAGATAAGTATTATTTGAAGCCTGTGATTTGGTCTATTCCATTATCTCAGGGGATGGGAAAATACATTGATTCTGGTTTCTTTTTCTCATTTTTTCCCCATTTCCCCATTTCCACTTCGTCTTCATGAAAACCATGAGCCAGAAATGCACAAACCATGAACCATCATTAAACCATCATTTGCACAATAAACTATCATTCTTTCACTTGTCTATTTGTGGCTTGTTGTGGCCAATGGAACAGAATTGGTCGGGGGGGGGGGATCAGTCCTAGTACCAAAATAAAAAATAAAAAAGTAGAAAAAACCCACATTATTGAAGAATCTATGATACGATAGAAGGTAGCTAGTCATGGAAGGACTAAAGTATTGAGAAAGTTACAGATTGCAATAGCACATAATGGCTGCTCGCTGCATCTATGGGGGGGTGATGGCTGTGGCCCCCTCATGCTCTACCTACACCCCTGGCAACTAGGCCATGCTCACTCTCCATCCATTGCTGGGCAATTCCCCTTGGCCAGAGGTATTGAGGGGCAGCTTTCCTGCCAAAGAGGGTGAATTTGAATGGGCCAATCGGAGGCCCCACTTGGAGAGTGTTGCCTTGCTGGCTGGCCAGGCATTGGCTGCTGCCCGGCCTGGCCTGAGAGCAAGGCTTAAAAGGCTGGCTGTGCATGGCTACAAAATTCAATGGTACATAATGATCTTCCTTGCTGTTTTGCTGATGAATGTGCAGTGGACTCCACAAGAGCAAGCAAAACAACTTATTTACGTTAAGTCTGCCCATAATTTCAGAAGCCTTTTCTGTTTTGAGAAATATGTGAAATTCATATATCAGCTGTTCCCCCATCATGTAACATTGCCTGAGAAGATCAATGAAGCTATGTAGTCTGTTCTGCTCTCAATTTTTCAGTCTCTTGGTTTTGTGTATTTTTAGGAGGATATCAGAAGGGGGGGGGGGAGAGCTAACTGCAATGACCACAGGAATTGCTGGCTGCTTATATCTTTACTTCTGCCCCACCCGATGGTATTGAACTCCATCTCCCATCAGCCCCAACTACTATGGCCAGTGGTCAAGGATTATGGGAGTTATAGTCCAACAACAGTTGGAGGTCCTTCCAAGTCACATACATCTGCTTTAGAGGGTTTGACTCTGCTCCAGCTTTGCCTCCATAGCAGTAACTACAACAACTGCTTAGTCACATCTGGTTAAGGAAGTTTGAGGTGTCCTGTCTGAATAGTAAAGCATGAGCATTTGATAGGTTTCAGAATTGTTGGCAGAGTGAATTATCTGGCATGGTGCCGTCATTTTGGCTTAACTGCCACTCTTTCTAACATAGACAATCCAAGCAAATCAATGCAGGGACATGTCTGAGATGGGCCAGTCGAGAAATGGCATGACCTGGCTGGTGGTTTGGAAAACAAACAGAACATGGGGAGCTATCTAAGCAGTTTTAATAGGTCAATTGGAAATGAGCACAGACAAAGAGGATTTAGAATATATCTTAAAAATCCCTCTTTCTCTCTCTTTGGGTGAAAGTTGTCCCACCCCCACTTTTCCCTCTCCTAAGCTTGTTATTTAAACCCACCGTTTCAAGCATTTTGTAATTCCTGCAGGCATTATCTTCTGACAAACAATGAGCTTTTTTCCTCTCCTCCTTTTAGCACAAATGCTATGGAAAGGTCACTTATTTTAATCAACTCCCTTATCTCTGTAAAAGCCAGATGACATTTTTTGCCCTATTTCTGACCAATGAGCATGCATATTTTAAATCAGAAAGTTGCATACTTGAGTGTCTTGTGGAACGTCACCTTTACAGAGCACAACAATTGATAATGATATGGCCTAATTCAAAGGAGACACAAAAGTTCAGCTAATTGTCATTGACTTGAGATGGGCTTATGAATGTTAAAATTCCATCCAAATCAGTTCAACTTTAAACATACTGGGCACATGGGCAGTTTTACCTACTGCATATAGGCTTTGACTTATACAAACACATAACATGATGTGTGAATCCAGCCTTGTTCCTTGGATTTTGAATCTTATGTGAACTTCGCTCCACAGGACAGGCTGGGGCATAGATCAATAGCAGAGCATGTAGATTCAATTTCTGGAATCTCCCAATTAAAGAATTTCATTCCAGGCAAGAAAAGAAACAAACAAACCCTAATTCCCAAGCCATGGAAAGTTGCTACCAAGCAGATAAGACAATACTAGGCCAGGAGGACCAGTGAGATACCAAGGTGTATGCATATATTGGATTATGGTCTCAAACTTTTAATCTTCGTTTCCCCAGTAGTCAAATTCACGTGTTCTGGAGCATAGTGTGGGATGACCCATCCTTTCCATGTACACACTTCACAAACCTACACATGTGAAAAATTAGTCCTCTTTTGGCAGAATTGAGCACTTTTACTCTCCCCTACCAGCTTTTGGCTTGGGCATATGTAGTGGTAGGTTCACTTCAATGTACCTAGCCACTACCTGCAACGTGTGACCTAGGTATGCTTCCTGTAGTAGAGGGATCAGTTGGCCTTCTTCCACCATATATCCTTCAAACCACGATTAAATTGTGTGTGGACACTGATGATGAGCAAGACCAGTGTTTGAAGCTCCCATTGTTCTAGGCGAATTTTGCGACAGGGAATTTCATTAGCGCGAGCCTTTTCTGAGCTCCGGGCGCAGTACTGCACCTAAGATTTCAGATTAAAACTGCAGAGTAGAAGGAAACAGGACTTTTTTCTGCCTCCCCGCTTCCAACTACTCTCTGAAGACAGGAAAAGAGACCCTTTTAAGAATATTAGGGGGGGGTAGGCAGGGGAAGGACTATACCATGTGAAAAATGAACATTATATTTTAGCTGCAGTTCATTTATTTTCAGCTTTGTATTCTTCTTTTAAAAAAGTGCACCTAGACATTGTGTTGTTGTGCCCATAGCCTAGGTTTAAGGTGCCATTTAGTCCCTAGCTTTCATATTTCAGTTTCTAACACTGAGCGAGACTCTATGGATTATTCTATGGTCAGCATTCACTTCATAAATAACCTGCCCTGTACTAATGTGCATGCCTGGCCAATGGCTTTTGGAGAAAGGAAGAAAAGGTATGGCCTGTATCTCTGCAGTAAACTACATGCTGTTCATGTAAGATCCTAGCTTCATTTCCTTGTCATCTGATTAAAAGGATCAGGTAGCAGTTGATATGACTAGATCTCTGCCTGAGAACCTGGAGGGCCGGGATAGTAGTCAACACAGGCCAAATGCAGGCAAAACTAAAAAGGCAAGGCTTGCTTTGGTTTTCCATTTCTCTGCTCCCCCCCCCCCTTTAATCTGGTTTTGTTAAAATTGCACATTTCGAACTGGTATTCTGAGTGGTTCAACGTGTATCTTTACTGCTGGCTAATTAAATGCTGAAGTCTCAGGAGTCTCCCAGGCAATATCACTTTCCCACTCCACACCCTCCTTGAGTGCCTTTGCTTGTTTGGAATGTGTTCTTGAACTGTGATAATAAGCCTCTTGCTCACCATGACGGACAGAGGTGTGTGCACGTAGATATCTCATACTTTGGTGAGGCTGGGATGTAACCCACTGTGCAAAGGTATGTTGCATCCATGCCTCTGTTTGCACGCTGGTGGAAATCAGCCTCTTTGGTCTGCAATCTATGCAATGAAACTGCTCCTTTTTTGACTAGCACATGAGCTGTAGGGTGATTAAAAAACAGCAACCTTATTTAAGAGCACATTTTGTTGGGAGAGGAGATCCTGGGTGCAGGTAGCTGAAACTGAAAGCTCCAAATGGAAATTGCACTTCTAGCAAAACAAAAAAACAAAAACAAAAGGGGTGTGCAGTGAGAACCTTTTGCATCAGTTCAAACAGATTCTGCTGATAAGTTGCACACTGCAAAGAGAGAAGAAGGAAATCTTGAATTCAAAGGACACATAGGAAATGTTTTAAATAGTGTGGCCGGCGGGTGGAGGGGAGGGTAGCATGGAAGAGATTTTAATGCAGATCCACAAAATGTAATGTATTTTACTAGCTTCAGTGCCCCTCAAGGCAAACATTTGAAAAGGAAGGGGAGACTATAACATCAAGATAAATGTTGTCAGTAGGACCTGGGGATAAACAAAGTGCAAAGACAGTAAAGAAATATTTCTTGTCAGAAATGGGTAAACACATTGTTCACCAAGTCTATGTTACTTTAGAGAGCTAATTAGATGCTAAGATTTCCCCTTTCCAGATAAGACTTTGCTCTTGGTAAGTGCTGTTTCTTTGGCCAAAATAACAAATATAAAAACACACATTATTGAATGAAGTGATTATTTATCTTTGGGACTTGAAATAAGCTATTGTAAAACCTAACAATTTCTATAGGAAAATAAATAAATGCAATTAGAAAACATTTTTTATTATTTGGATCTAGCAACATATCCCCACCACGCCTATACTTGTCTGTAGAGGAACCCCTGAATATTTCAGATGTTTCTGGGAAATATAATTCCCATCACGTAGAAAGTGAGCCTGAGGCTTGCCTAGACTCATTCCCATCCCAATGCCCAGCGATCTAAAGTTTTAACATATTCACCAAGTAATTTCATCACAGAAGAATGAAATTCACCCTTTATTGGTGAAGACACTAGAATCAGAAGATGGCTCGTTGCCTCAGGATGTCTTCATTAACCAACTATGACATCACTCTGCCCTCCTCCTCCCATTGAAATTAGGTTTGAAAAAAGAATGCTTTCTTCTTTTCCCCCAAAAAACTAATCATGATGCAGGTAGTATGAATGTTTGGCCGTGCTGTGTGTAGAACATGTGGGGTGTGTGTAAGTGCCTGTGTGGTGCCCACAACACTTTCCCAGTTGCTCACCAGGTTGATAACTCCTGCTGCAGAAACACTTTTAAATTATGTTTCACGGCCTTTACTCAAAAAGAGTGCCTGGTGCATTTATTTTGTATGATGCTTTGCAGTATTTTAGAAACTAGTGTTTTTTTTCTTGCTCGGCTTGTGAAAGTTGATCATTTGTCTGCTGTGGGTCACACTTATACCAATGTGGAATAGATTGTCCAGCATCTCTGCATAGTGCGATGGAAGCAGATTCATGAAAGGGCTGTAGGTCAGTGGTTAAACATCTGCTTTGTATGCAAAAGATCCATGGTTCAGTCCCCAGCATCTCCAGGTTGGACTTTGAGAGATCCCACTTGAATACCTGGAGAACGGTGCCAGTCACTGTAGATAATGCAGACCTAGTGTGGTCAATGGTCTGACTCAGTATAAGGCAGCTTCCTACACTTCCATGGACTAATATGGGATGTACAACTGGCACGTGTAAATATCCATTGATGTGCACATTGCATTGGATCTCTCCCTTCGCCCTTGTTTATATAGGTATAAGGTGTGTGGCATTAGTACCAATTCTGATGAACAGTGCAAAAATAAAATTTATGCTTCTGTGACCCATGCACACACACACACATATGGCAGGTAGAAAGAAGAAATTATTAGGCACTTTAGACCATCCACTCAGAAACTTTAAGCTAATGCTACAAAACGCTCAGCAATACTCAAAATGGGGAACTTGATAGCTGCTAAGAAGAGCAGGAGGAAGCAATTTTCCTTAAAAAAACTACTGATAGATATAGGTGAAATTACACACCTCCAATTTTACTCCAGGGCATTAAGAGCCTGCAGCACCTCAGCTATAATAGCTTTTATTCCTTGCATTTGTTACATTTATACCCACTTGCCTTCCAACAAACTTGAGACATTATATTATGAGGCTATGTGTCAGTCCCACATGGTAGGTTATAGGAGAAAGGGCTTTGACCAAGGCCATTGCCGTGTGCTTTGTGGTTGAGGATTCAAATCCAGGTCTTGGTCAATGACCAGCACTCTGTTCATTGTACCTGGAGTTGTTGTTGGAGTCCAACTTCCATCATCCTTGAGACCATTGGAGCCTGATGGGAGTTGTAGTCCAACAACATCCAGAGGGCCACAGGCAGTGGTGAGGTGTTGAAGAACAGAGCTGTGTGTGCCCCACGGCCTGCCCTATGTTGCCAGATTTCTGTCCTCAGCTGTGATGGAGGACCCCAATATGTTAAAGAAATATTCAGCTGCCAGTCCAATCAGCTTCTGAACATAAAATAGGGTGAAGGAGTCATCTTGTTCTTTGACTCAGGCAGCACAACGTCTTGAGCTGGACTCCCCATTCCTAGAATCATGGAGTATCATTTGGTCTACCTTATGGATCCATAGAACCATGATGGAGAGAATAAATAAAATTGAAATCCATGTATATTCAGGAACTAGACTTTAGGTTTCAGAAGTTTCACTTGTGGAAATACATCCGCATCTCCAGTTGCTCCCTTATCTTATTATATGTGATGGTTATGTTGTGAAGTTGACTTTTATAAAAAAAAAATTTTTCATGATGATGATGATGCTGGTGAATATTCTTGATACGTCAAGATCATGGCTGCTCATAGCCTAACTTGAGCCCACTGGTTGAAAGATAGCAGTCCCAGAATGTTATGTTATCTGTGACTTCACTAGATTTATGGTACATCAGGAATGCAAAAAGCATTGCCATTATTTTTTGCTCATTTCTCAAATTCAGTCACAGAACTTCTGAAGTGACTTCTACATACCTTTCATGGGTTGCAAGAAGTCATGTCAAACCTCACACTTGTACACAAAGGAGTCAGAGCATGTTATTTTGCACTCTTTGTGCAGCTCAGTTCTGCTGTTGCGTTGCCTAGTCACATGTTTTCATAAGATCATTATGTCACATCACTTTGACTGACTGTCATTATGCTATTTCAGTTAAGTCACAGCTACTTAAAATGGGATTTTCTAGAAAGGAGCAATGAAACATCTTCTGCTTCCTGATGCTGTGAAAACAAAAACTAAAGTATTAAACATTTCCTTTATCCTTGCCTATATTAAATTGTTAAGGTGGGAGAGATGAAGGAAGAAAGAAAGAAAAAAGAGGGGGAGGGAAGATGTATGTGTTTGCCACTTCACACAATATACTCATTCAAAATGTCTATTCTTCCACTGTAAGATCAATAGCCTGCAATTCGTTTCTTTTAAAAAATACACTTTGGTATAGTGAACTTCACAATGGTAGATACTGTAGATAGAAGGATGCTGGTAGAAGCTTTCAAGTCACAAAGGAATAACAGAGCTTCAGCATCCATAATATAGCTCAGAGCATCATTATTTCAATATGAGGATTAATTGTGAAAATGATTATGTTAGTTTTCAAATTATTCAGATCTTAATTACAACTGTGTTGGCCCAATTAGTTTGAAACACAAGGCTAATGTTAGGGTTCGGTGGCTACTTGGCATCTGTGCAGAAGTGAGAGGCATCTGTTACCGGGCGGTAGAGTGATTGGAAGTGTCAACTTGCCAGCTGCAAAGTCAGGAAAGCTCTTTTAAAAAACAAATTTGAGCCAACGTAATGGTTTAGCACACTTCGGCACAATGGGTAGGAGATTTAGCGCTCATTTCACACACATAAGGAGAATGTGTCACAGAACCTAACTGGAAAACATCACAGAATAATATTGGAAAGACACTGTGATAACAGGTGGAAGCCTCTGACTCTGCTTGTGAGAGATTTTGGGTCCCACTGATGCCCTGGAAATTATTTGTAGTCTGCCTTTTTCTAATAAGGCTCCAAGATAGGTAACAAATCTCTGTTCCTGACAGCTATGCACTCCACCTGTCACCTTGAACTGGAACTGGAAAGACAAAGGCAATCAATGAAAATCTTTGAACATGGGGCATTTCAGTGTGTGCTGCTGTTTGATTTTTGATTTAACTTATGCAAAGTGCCACATCACAGAATTCATTCCCACATAGAGGGACACTTCCCCCAACTTCCCAAGAAATAAGGTTCCAGAGTTTTGGAGCCATGAGTTAGAAAGCCCTGCAACTTGTGCTTGCCAGCCTGACCTCAGAAGGAAATGCCACATTCAAGAGACTTTCTGGGCATATATAAGATGGTTGTTGGCATCTGTCTTGTTTCAAGATATAATGGAGTGCACCTCTATCAAAGTGACCTCCTGGGGGACTAAGCCTGAGCAGTGTGCATGGAGGTCTTTGGCTGCCCAGATGACAAGACCTCAACCTCATTGGTGTGGTCTAAAGGAACGCATCGAAGATAGTGGGGAGGTTTATATGGGGGGAAGGCATTCTCTTAGGTAGGCAATGCCCCATTTGCCTATTGCTTTAAAGATCAAAACCAGCACCTTGAAATGGGTCCAGAATGTGGAGCAATTTGAGAATCAAGGGCTCTTCTGAGAATTGTATAAAAACTGGGTTGTACACACAGTACAGTTGGTGTTTCCAAACCATCTTTAAGAGGCAGCCCCACAGAGAAACTACTACAGTCCTCCAACGATGATGTCTTGCCAAGCATGAATGGCAGAGTTTGTTTTCTGTTGAGCAGACTGCAGAAGGAAAGATGGGCATGGTTGCTAGGTACCATAATAATAGAAAGATGGAATTGAATATTGTGAGTGATTAGCAGATGCACTGTCTTTCTTGGAGAGGAAAAATCTCTTTAAGTAGCATTCGTTAAGATCTTGTAATACCGACTTCCTTTGGTTCTACATGTTTTTGGGGGGAGGCAGAGACAGAGAGAGAGAGAGAGAGATTATGAATTGCAGAAATTCAATTGTTTAAAGCTATGAAATTCAGAGTGGCAGGGAGGGGGTTTTATGTCTCTGACAATTGAAACCAATCTTGGTAACTTCTGACTTTGCCTTCCTCAATTGAGGATATTAATTGTATTGCAAACTTTATGGTGACATGCTTAATATTAATGTGTTATTAACATTTAATGAAAGAGCATAAACTTTGCTGAAAGGTAATCAATTGGCAGCAAGGCAGGAAAAAGGCGAACACTAATAGCAGAAGCAGGATTGCACTGAGCAGTAATGCATTCACTTTTGACCTAGTTTTTATTATGGATCTTTTGTCAGCAATTTTGCATGGTTTGGGGGTTCTTGTTTTTTGTTTGCTTGTTTACTCATAACGCAGAAAGTACAGATGTAAGAATGTGTAGGTTGCTTTTCTGTGGATAATTACTTTAATTTATTAGATCTTTTAAACAGTTCTTACAGTGTAAGGCAACAATTTAAAAATGCAATATTAAAACCTGTTAGACTGAATGAGAATCTGAATACAGTGGTGCCTCGCAAGACGAAATTAATTCGTTCCGCGAGTTTTTCCGTCTAGCGAATTTTTCGTCTTGCGAAGCATGAAATCCCATAGGAATGCATTGAAATTCAATTAATGCGTTCCTATGGTCAAAAAAAGTCCAAACAAAGCCACATTTGGTACAACAATAGTTTATTAACTGCTCTTTAAAGTCACACATACTGTAAAGAGCATTTCAAAAATTGAAGGAACAATAAATTAAGTTTCTAAACATGACAGAAAAACATTTAAAAATCAACAAAGTGTACAGTACATTTTCTAAGACTCTGGGGGACAACTCAAAGAAGGTTCCTCTTCCACTCTTTGCTTCTTGCTGAAGAACCTGTCCATGGTCTGCTGCTTCATCCACCTTTTCAGCACCTCCCTGAAAGGCGACATGACCCTCGTATCAAAAGTGTTCGCAAGGTCATGTGCCACGTGCTTGTCAGGGTGGTGCCGCTGTGCAAAGCCTGCACATCCTTCCACTTCAGGCAAATGTCCCTCAGTTCTTTGGAGGACAGCCGTTCCTCAGTTGCTTCCTCCTCTTCCAGTGAGGCCTGCTCCTGCGCAGCCTCTGCCTGCAGTTCGACCAGCTCCTGGGTGGTCAGCTCGTGGTCGTGCTCCTCCACCAGCTTGCTGATGTCCTCCTCTGTGACCTCCAGGCCCATGGTCCTCCCCAAGGCAACAATGTCCTGCACCACTGTTGACTCTGGTGCATCAGAGTCACTTGGTGCCACACAGTCTGGCCACAGGCTGCGCCAAGCGCAATTCAAATTTCTCTGGCTGATCCCATTCCAGGCTTTGGTGATCATCTTCAAGCAGGTGATGATGTCGAAGTGGTCCTTCCAGAATTCCCACAGGGTGATGGTGGTGCAATCAGTCACCTTGAAGCATCGCCTGAAAAGCTCCTTGGTGTAGAGTTTTTTGAAATTGGTGATGACCTGCTGATCCATCGGCTGGAGCAGTGGCGTGGTGTTAGGCGGCAGGAACATGATGCTGATGAAGCTGAACTCCTCCAACAAGTCCTCCTCAAGGCCTTTAGGATGAGCAGGAGCATTGTCCATCAGAAGCAAAGCCTTCAGCGGCAGGTCGTTGTCCAGCAGGTACTGTTTGACAGCAGGGCCAAAAGCAAGATTGACCCAGTCCACAAACAGCACATGAGTGACCCAAGCCTTACTGTTGGATCGCCACATGACACTCAGCTGCTCCTTGTCGACCTTGTGTTTCTTGAAGGCCCGTGGGTTCTCCGAGTGGTACCCCAGCAGGGGCTTGATCTTCAGGTTGCCGCTTGCGTTGGCACAGAAGAGCAGGGTCAGACGGTCCTTCATGGGCTTGTGGCCAGGCAACTTGGCCTCCTCCTGTGTGATGAAAGTCCTTTTGGGCATCCTCTTCCATAACAGCCCGGTCTCGTCGCAGTTGAAGACCTGCTGTGGAACGTAGCCCTCCGTCTTCACAACCTCCAGGAACTCCGCTGCAAAGTCTTCAGCCGCAGAAACATCAGAACTGGCAGCCTCTCCATGCCTGACCACGCTGTGGATTCCAGATCTTGTCTTGAACTGGTCAAACCAGCCTCTGCTTGCCTTGAAGACTTCTGGCTCGCCTGAGGTTCCTGGCTGTTCCCGGACGAGGTCTGCCTGCAAGGCCTTGGCCTTCTCACAAATGACGGCCTCAGTCACTGTGTCCCCTGCACGCTGCTTCTCTTCTAACCAGATGAGCAGCAACTTCTCCACCTCCTCCAGAACAGCTGGGCGGTTCTTCACGATCCTGGTGACTCCCTTGGCTGCATCAGTCACAAGGATCTTCTCCCTCATCTTCAGGATGGTCCCGATGGTCGATGGATTCCTCCTGTACTCCCTGGCGAGGTCTGTCACACGCATTCCACCGTCGTGCTTCCGGATGATCTCCTTCTCCATTTCCAGCGTAACCTTCTCCTTCTCCCCCTCGCCTGCCTCTGCAGCAGCAGTCTTCTTGGGTCCCATGGCAGCACAGCTCCTACCTGCGCAACCCCCCCACCAAAAAAATCAGTGCTTCACATCCAAAAAATTCAAAAGCACCCAGCCACCCACCACACAGAAATTCAAACCCAGAACCAAGTCCTTGAATTCCAAACACCCCAACCCAAAATCCAAAAGCCCCCCCAAAAAGTTTTAAAAGTTTAACTTACCAAATGGCTGCAAAAGAAGTTTTGGAAAAGCTTCAAAAATCACCAAAGTCTTCAAAAACCTCAAAAAAGGCTACCACACCGCGTGCTATGAGTTGCTCCTCGAAGTCAAGTCGCAACTGCACCTCTTCAAGCAATGCACCCTGGGTATTAACGGTTTTACGAAAAAGGAAACAAACTTGCAAGACGTTTTCATCTTGCGAAGCAAGCCCATAGGGAAATTCGTCTTGCGAAGCACCTCAAAAAACGAAAAACTCTTTCGTCTAGCGAGTTTTTCGTCTTGCGAGGCATTCGTCTTGCGGGGCACCACTGTAATTGCATGGGTTGACATATAGTAGGATTCATCCAATTCTTTTGACATATAAGGTGTCAATGGCCAGGCTAAAGAGGTATTGCTGTTTTTAATTTGCATACAATGCATGAATATGTTGGTGCAATGCAGTTGTATATGAGCTGGACTTTGAGCAGAGATGAAATGTGTGGGATAACCAGAATCATATAACCAACATTCTTGACTCTGATTAATGCATGAAGGGGTTAATGCCATAGAGTAAACTTTACAACAGGCTTAGCTAGGTCACTCCCTCTCACCTGGGGAGAAAGATAAGCAAGGTCTTTTTTTCGCCTTTAGTCTACTTGTGTGTAATGAGGTCTGAGCTGGTTGCTCCAAGCTCAGACCACATGGTTCTTGAAAGACTCTCTTGAGCTCCTGTACCAATAATTTAGGAAATTTTGCCGCTGTAGCTAAACCAAGTTTTATTGCCTGTGTTTTCTAACCACATGAATCTGACCTTTGAAGAGTTTGTAAGTAAACCAATTCTTATCTGTCAGTGAAGCTCAGATGCTGACAGGAGAGAAGAAGCAGGCACAGGGAGAGGACAGTTAACAGCAGAAAGCAGAGAGGAGGGGGAGAGCAGCTGTAATCTGAGCTCTGACCAAAGGGACAGACAGATGTGTGAGAACTACAATAGTGGGCAAGACGTTGGAATGCAGGAAATATGTTTTGCCAAATCTCGTAGGATTTCAAAAGTAGCAGAGATACGTGAAAGATACCGGAAGAGAAGGTGGGGGCTTCTGTGCTGGGGAAGCGGGAGGAGCTCAGTTTGAGTAACTCTGTCTTCTGGGGAGGACAATGAATAGATGACCTCTGTCTTAGTTTGTTGTTTTTGCAATAAATCTGAAATAATTAACAGCCAGAGTCATCTCACGTTTGTGGGAGAGACCAAGCCGTAACATTTTCTTAGCCAATGTGTGATATGAGAAGAGCGGAACTTTGGAAGGTACTTAGGTGATATTTTAGGTCTAACAGCCTATATTTTCATGCTTTACTTTGCTGCATATTTTGTTATTTTAAATCTTTGCTGGGGTTTTCTCACCAAAGAGTACTTGCCCCAAACCTGGATGTTGACATCCAGTGAATCCTCCTTTTAATGGAAGTAATGTATGTACATAAATATTGGTTTCTTTTAGAGATACAAATATTTATCCTTCAAGTATATTTCCATTTTCCTGCATTTTAGCATATGTTTGACAAAACATCTACAAAAGTAGATACCTAATGCTTTCTTTTCTTTTTTGTAATGTAGATCTAAAGCATTGCCTATAATATGTGCATCAACCCAAGCTGGAGTAACTGAGCTCCTTATTGCCAGTTCAAAACAGACAGCAATGCAAGTCTGAATCACTGTTGTGGATGACAAGCACAATTAGTTTAATTGTGAAATAGCTTGTGCAATTTAACTGTCACCTTTTTTATTTACTCAGATATAATGCTGTAACCATATTCCTATCAACAAGTGCCTATTTGTTCAGTTTAGCTCAACATTACTTATTTTCTTTGCCTACCTTTGCTTTGAAAGTGCTAAAAAAACCCCATAATTTTCCCCAAGAGGCCCACCTCAGACAGTCTTCAAAAGTTTCCCTCAGTAATGTGGCACCACCACAAGAAGCAGACATCTGGCTTGCTGAATGGACAATATTAACTGACTCCACAATGGATGGATTTTATGTCATTGTGTAATTCATCTTATTTAAAAAAAACCCCAAAAAACCCCACACTGTTGCATCTCTTATCTTTTAAACTTTTTTTTAAAAAAATAAACATCTTTATTGAAAGTTCAAAAAGTACATAATTATATGTGCACTAAACATGGTGAGATGTAAATAAAAGAAAAAGAGAAAGACAACCCGTGTAGCACAGAAAATAAAGGTGGGGGGGACCCAAAATATATATCTTACAAGCCTGTTATTGTACTTCACCAGGTCTTAACCTATTGCAGTATTTATAAGAATGAATTCCAAATATTATTGAATTTGTCCATGGCAGGTCTGCATTTACAGTGGTACCTCGGGTTAAGAACATAATTTGTTCTGGAGGTCCATTCTTAACCTGAAACTGTTCTTAACCCGAGGTACTATTTATGGGTTAGCAGAGTCTGTAACCTGAAGCGTCTGTAACCCAAGGTACCACTGTATATGCAAGTTGTTCATATGTTGCAAGTTTGTATAAGTTTTCAATCCAATTGTAAATCATTTTAAACTTTTTAAATAAAATGTATCAGCAGCAGCCTCAGGCATTAACATGGAGGTGGGGGCAAAAGATGTGTGCTTTAACAAATAACATACACAAATGTGCCGGTTTGTGGGGGAGCAAAAAAATGGTTGCCTCCCCAATTTCCTTCAGCGTAACTTTGCACCCCCACTTCCCAGCCCCACTGGGTTATTTGACTTTTGCTTTTTCTATTAATAGGGTTTGTGTTACTTGGGGTGGAACACTGAGAAATGTCTCTTCATGTAAGATGTTTCTGCCTTGTAAAAGTTCAACTGATAGGGCTGCATCTAGTGGTGGCTTTCTGCTAGCAGAAGCATGAGGCACCCCTATTTTCACCCATCTCTGTTGTCAACATCAGCCCTCTATGCCATATCCAGCACTCTAGCGGATAATTTCCCAGTCTTCAGAACCAGCTCCTGCAAGGCACAGTAAGGCTGCACTAGATGTTGTTGTTGTTGTTGTTGTTGTTGCTGCTGCTGCTGCTGCTGCTGTTGTTCATTCCATTTCTATACTACTTTGAACTTTAAGAAAAAAATATCAAGTGGTTTGCAACCTAGGTAAAGGTAAAGGCACCCCTGACCATTAGGTCCAGTTGTGGACGACTCTGGGGTTGCGGTGCTCATCTCACTTTATTGGCCAAGGGAGCTGCATACAGCTTCCAGGTATGCCGCTTCTGCCGTTTACCTTCCCACCGGAGCAGTACCTATTTATCTACTTGCACTTTGACATGCTTTTGAACTGCTAGGCTGGCAGGAGCAGGGACCAAGCAATGGGAGCTCACCCCATTGTGGGGATTCGAACCACTGACCTTCTGATCGGCAAACCCTAGGCTCTGTGGTTTAACCCACAGCGCCAGCTACAGTACATTGAAACATCAAATCAAATAATCCAAAATGAAAAACTACAGAAGAAAGACAAATATGTAGAAATTCAAAGCATCAAAATTAACTGGAAACTAAAATATTATCTTAAACATTTCAAAATAAAACATTGCAAGGGAAGTCATTTAAATGCCCATGTAAAACAGCATAATTAGCTTGCAAATGAATATTATCATGGGCATAGAGTGTATCTGTTGCTGCCAATCCTGTCAATGGTGGTTCATGGTGGGCAGTGGCTGTGGATGTTCAGGCTCAAGGACCTGGGACTCCACCAAGAAACAACCAAAGATCAGTCTCTGGCCTTTATAGCAGCCTCAGCTTTTGTAGCTGGAGTCAGTCAGGGCCCTCCCCTCCCTGGCCAGATGGGGAAAGGCCTGCAAGGCAAGTGTTCCAAAGCTCACAGCCAAATCAGCAAAATATCTGGTACCCTGTCTTGAGGAAGCTGAAGCAGTTCAGCCATTGGATAGCCCTTGCAAAACTACCTCACCATAGCTGGCACAAGAAATTTTCCCACTTGGGTCAAAGGACATGGTGGTGCCACCCCCTCCATGTTCAGAAAGTGACTGGACTGAGAGCTGACTCAAACGTCAATGCTGGCGACAGGATAGCAGCGTTCCCTGGCACACCTGATGGCGGATGGCTAGGTTAGGGGGTTGAAAGCAGGCCACCTGACACACCTATGATTGCCGACCAGAAGAGGGGAACAGTGCTGCTGGCACTCCTCAGCTTTTGCTACCTGAAGCAGTTACTTCCCTCTGCACAGTGGTCACACCAGCCCTGCAGTTCACTAGAAATGTATTCATGTTCTGGAGCTGAACATGATGTAATGGAAACTGAATTTTCACATCTGGTTGTGAAATCCTCTACTCTCTTACTTGAAATGTAAGGCCCATTGCAACTTCCTCGGAGATAAGCAGACATAGGATTCTTCCTAGAAAGTGGGAAGTATTTTTTTTTTCTATGCAGAGTCTCTTTTGTAAGGAGAATATCAAGCAGATTCATTGCCAACGATAGTACTGATGGCAAACTAAAGCACAATCCACACAGCGGGATTGGGGGGTGATGAAAAAAGCACTCCATAACTCTCAGCAGTGATCACTGGGCCATCTTACTTACATCCATGTGATGAACACTAGCAAAGATCCAAAGACTTTAACCTCTGAGCTCCATACACTTTGCTTGATGAGTATAGATGGTGGATAAAATGTTCAGTACAGCTATTAAGGGTTTTGTCCCGTTGTCTCATAGTGGTTGAAGCTGTAAGTCACTTGCAAAATTGCTCTCTGTTTTAAATCAACCAGACAATAGGAACGGCCCATGTATACTTTTACTAAACAACTTACCAATTCAAGTGGGCTGCCTGAGCTGCAAGATGTGAACTCTGAAGTGATAAAGCATAGCATTGCTTCAGTAAAATGGAATAAGAAATCATCTTGACAGAGCCTAGATCTTGGTCTGGGCTGCTGAATGTACTTTTCTCCCCTCCCCCTTCCCTTTCAAGGTCGATGTTCCCTATTTCATGTGGAGTACATCTTGTATGACAGCACAGGAAGAAAAGCGGGCAGGCTGGGTTAATGCATTTGGGGTCAAAATGGACTCACAAATGAAGGAAGGCAGCACCCATGAGAAATGGGACTGACACCGCGGCAGTAAAAGTGATTGGTGATTAAACCTCAGCTGCCTGGAGTGCATACAAAAGTCACGGGGGTGTATGTGCTTGTGCACAGATTGAACAAGATTTTTATTTATTTATTAATGGGGTGATATTTGCTTGACAAAACCTCTACAGAATCTTCTGCACATGCATCTATCAACCACATTAGTCTTCCATCCCACTTAGGGGTAGCATGCATGGTCCCTCCTCTTCCTTTTCCAACGATTTTGCAAGGTTGATAAGACTGAGGAGTAGTGATTGGTCCAAAGCCGTTCAGGTAATTTTATGGCTGAATGAGAGTTTGAATCCTTGCCTGTCAAGTGTTACAACCCTATCCAGTATCCCTCACTGGTGCTTTATATAATTTATGAAAATGAATGCTTTAAAGAGAGTTTGTTTGTTTTAATGGATTTTGGAGGAAACATTTAAATACGTGCACAACTTCTTTTCATTGTGAACTTATTTTGCTACAGTATGGGAGCAATCCTTTGTACAAGAAGCTGACATAAAGCTCACCAGTATAAATTAAGTTGGTTTAAAAATACACAAGCTCCAAGCCCACAGTCAACAATGTAGCTGCTGCTGTTTGAGCCTGGCAGATGGAAAACAAGCCTTGAAAATCGTGTTCTATGCTGGGTTGATGGAATATTCCCCAAACCATAGTAGTATCCAACCCTTTCCCCCAATAAATGACTTCAGGTTTCACCCTGGCCTGCCAGGTACCAGCTATGAGGAAGGATCGGTGATAATTTCTATTCAATTAGCATGTCAAGGCAAGCCTGTCTAATTCACTGTAGAGCTGGAAGGGACCATGATGGCCATTTACCCCAACCCCTTACAATGCAATCTTGCAATCTTTTGCCCAATGTGGGGCTTGAACCCCTGGCCTTGAGATTAAGACTCCCATGCTCTACCAACTGAACTGTCTTAAAAATCCACACATATCAGAATTTTGCAAGGCAATTCTCCAGCCAAGTGGTGCGTACATAAATGAATATATTGGGGTGAAGTGTGCATACAAATGCATGTCTCTCTGTGTGAAAGAAAATAACATTAAAATGCATTGATTGGGGAGGAATCACTTTGCAAAAATGTGTATATTTGAAAAACAATTGCATAGTAAAATGTGTGTGTTAGACAAAATTTCATTAAAGTGCTGAGGAATTTTCAAGTGGACTTTTAAAAGAAAAAAATCAAACTAATGTGGAAATGTGGAGAACTAAAGTTAAGGCTCTTCCCATAGTTGGCCTCATTGCCTTCCACCCCAGCAGTCCCAATGAGCACCAGCCTCCACTGATTAGTGGATAGATCAAGACCTACCTTAATTTTTTTTTTAGTCTGAGGCCATAAGGACCTGCCTGCCTCTGCTGCAGAACCTTTGCTTGGATTCATCATCTGTTTGCAGAAATTTCTGAATGTCGTGCTCTTTGGTTGCCTGCAACAAAGCATATTGGCTTTGCTGCAAACTTGATCAACCCAAAGGGGGCTGACTTCCAACATTCCTGCTTTTGCCATTAATATTTATTAAACTAGTTGAAATCACATCTCTCCAAAAACTGGACATGGCTGTGCTGTATCTATCTCTTTCTATACCACAGAAGAACAGAAATGACTTGGGGCTGATTTGAGCATCACCTATATTTCTGAGTATGGCAGCTGAAGAAACAAATGATGAAAGAGTTGTTATGCCTCTGCATGCCTGCTCATAATGCATAGATATAGAGAACTATTTGCTCAATGATAAATTTACCATGGTGAATCTATAGTCCAATCCAGTGTCCTCCAGACGTTTGGGACTACAGTTCCCATCAGCCCCAATCAGTTTTTAATAAGGAGAAGCATTGAATCATACACTCTTTGGGCTGACATTTATCGTCTTAAGTGGCAGAACCCAGGAACAGTTTTCTGCCATTTTATATGCTGTATGTGTGGACTGGTGGGCATACAATCATAAGGGGTGTTAGTTATCTGCAGCATCCATTAATGGGTAAGGATTTCACAATGGCCCTGATTCCCTAGCTAGATGGGTAATTTTTGTCTGTATTCACTCATGATTTGATGTTAACGAGTAACATTGATCATCTCACCCACAGCCTGATCTGATCACTCCAGAATTCATTTTAGTACCTTAGCCAGTGGTTTTAAACCAGTTCCTGACATCTTTGGTTAAAAGGTTCAGATAGTAAGTGATGTGAACGACCCTTTGCTGGACACAACTTATAAAGTTGCAGTCAATCAGAATAGACAGTAGATGGACCAAAAGTTTGATTGAATAGAAAGTAACTCCATATTTTCAGCCTGACAGCTTATTGCAATCACCTTGATTCATTTCCTAACTTGACTATAATAGGACAAGCCAATTAACCTAGTGCGTGTGTGTTTTCTTACTTTCAGAGTAGAAGTTCTACATATCACGTTTCAGGTTTTTTTAAAAAAATGAAGCCCGGAGACCATTTAATGAGTATATTTTTAATCTCCTTAGAGACTTGTTCTGCCAGGTTGTCATTGCTGAACTTTAGTTTCTAGAAAGTATCTGGCAGCTGTTTGAAAGGAGGTCAACAGCTGAGAAGTTAAAGGCCTATCAGTTTTGGAAGTGAACATGTGGGGAAGTTCCCCTCCCAACTGTTTGGGTAAATACCATACAAAGAAAGGTCGTATTCTGCCCCACCTTTTAAAAATGAGATGAGAAGTGTCATGGAAAGCTGTAAGTTAATTAAAGTGGTGGCACGAAGCACTTGTTCTCACCTAGAAGACCTGTGACTATAGTGCGAAAGCAGATGTTTGTAGGAAGAAGTAATTTTAAAGGGCAATTCAGAAACCAGAATCCTGTTTATGTACTGGTTATAGTTTTGGCAGAATCATACTCCTATGCCTTGGAGAAATAAAAAAAAAGCTTTCTTGCTATAAAACCTGATTTTTGCCCCCCTTCTTTGCAATTTGAGTTGAAAAGCACAACATTTAGCTTTGATCCAGAAATTAAATCAGCAGCCTAGCACTATTGACTTCCATGTCCCATTAACAAGCATAGGATTAAGCATGTTCAAGTGACAATGAATTATTTAAAGTAGCTTGAAAGAACACACTTTCCATTTTATAGTTTAAACCCTCCTCCTCCCTCCTTTCTTTACAGCATCAGCCTGCAGTTGGAGTCCAATGGACCCCTTTGAAGTCCTCCCTGGGGAAAAAAGTACACGATTTATTTCAAAACAACTCCAGTTTAACATGTAAAAAGAGATTTAATTGGATTCACATTCCAAAAATATACCCAAACACGGAAGTCACTGCAGGACACTGGACCTCACAATGTTCATTTAAATTCCTCAAGGAAATTCCACCTGGATGTTTTGGGGGAGAAAGCAGAAGAAATGCCTTGGTGGAATACTGGTCTGAAAGTAAATAATGGAAGGAATCTGATATATCCCAATAGCCTCATAGGGACCCTATGAGGCTATTGGGGTACAGTGGTACCTCGCAAGACAAATGCCTCGCAAGACAAAAAACTTGCTAGACGAAAGGGTTTTTTGAGCTGCTTCACAAGACGATTTTCACTATGGGCTTGCTTCGCAAGACGGAAACGTCTTGCAAGTTTGTTTCCTTTTTCTTAACACCGTTAATACAGTTACGACTTGACTTTGAGGAGCAACTCATAGAACGCGGTGTGGTAGCCTTTTTTGAGGTTTTTAAAGACTTTGGTGATTTTTGAAGCTTTTCCAAAACTTTCCCGACACCGTGCTTCACAAGACGAAGAAAATCGCAAGACAACAAAACTCGCGGAACGAATTAATTTTGTCTTGCGAGGCACCACTGTATATCAGATTCCTTCCATTATTTACTTTAAGACCAGCTAAAAATAACACTATGGATAAGAAACCAGTGTTGCAAATTTGCACAGTAGGTAGCATCCTAAAAGAGCTCAAATAACTCTTTAGACAACACTGGTGCCTCCCTCAACTTCCAGGTTCTGAAACAGGCATGCAAACAGAACAGCTTTGTTCCTTTCAGTAGTCAAGGTCCATTTTGGAGGGAGGGGGGAGAATGCAGATTATTTCTTTTCAATGTTGTGTATAACCATGGATTCTGGGGGTGCTCTTTGGGGCCTCACTGATTTGACTGAAGCAATTTAAGGGTTATTTATTGAATGAATGTGTCAGTTTTGACACTTGGATCATTTCCACCTGCAAATCGGTGAACTCTGATATTTTGGAACATCAAAAGGACCACGTTATATCAGAGCTTTGCTGATTGCCTTAATATGGTTTCTGCAGCAAATGGAAGTTGAGACAGACATCAGAGTGCTCAAACTGTTACCCCTCCACCCTACCCCTTCATAGCATCAGATATATCGAGTTCTCCTTAACCATTAAGCAAGTAGGAAGAAGCGGGTGACCGGGGAGGAGTGGAAAGGGGGATATGTAACAGGCAGATATTGTATTCCAAGGACTTGCACATTAATGGATTGAGCTTTCCTGGGGAAATATTGTATGTTTACATTGTCTCTCGGCCAAGTGATTGATCTTTTCTATAAAGAGGCGAGGCCCTGAATAGCTACTTTTGGGTTGTTGTTTTGTGTGTCTTTTTTCTTCTATTCAGAGATACTTGATATTTTAGTATTTTATTAATCTGGTGTTCCCTGCTCCCCCAGGAGGTTCAGACACACTACTAGATCATCTGAGCTGTTCGACAAGATCCATTTTAGGGTTTATTTTTTTTCTTTACTTTAGATTCTCTCTAGGCCTTTGTGGTGAAAGACCCTTTCTCCAAAAAGTGTGGTAAAAATTAAAAGGTTCAGGAACTCAGACCAGGCCAAATTTCATGAAATCATACCCAGATTTTACTAAAACAAAATTCTACAAGAAAGAAAAACTCTAAGTAATTACACAGATTAAAATATCTCAGAAGGTAAGAAAACAACAAACACTAACTTATCCAGCTAATTAACATAAACACTTACACTTAAATCTCAGTAGGCTGAGCAACAGAACAAGATTCTGTCAAAAACCCAAATAGGCACTGATCTTGGCTCATTATTTCTGAGATTCTAACCCATTCCCATAAACCAGTCTTATAGGGGCGATATCACCACAGCATTGATTTGCTGTTTTACCTCCCTATTAGATTACATAAAAGCACAACTCCACAACAACCTCCATAATTATCTTTCCTTCTGCAGAAACTAAGTGTGGCTCATGTGAACTAGGCCTGGTTCCAAATCCTAATGTGAATTCTCTGAGAGAGATGCATTCATGTCCAGGTGTGATGACTGATTAGTCCCATAACATTTCCAGTGAGGAAATAGGTGGTCCCACATTATAAAACAGTACATTGTGAGGGGACCAGGGCAGATTCATGCTGTGCCCATATTGTATTAAATGGTCCAATGGAGACAAAATTAGATTCTGTGGCATCTTTGATCAAGAGTTCTGGAGAAGAACATTGCTTTGCTCTTGAAGACCCTGAAATCCTGCTCTTTGGTTTGTGTGTGAACATAGAGGAATGTGTAATATAAAAAAGGGACAGAGACATGACTATGGAGTGTGATCTCTTACATACATAAGAAGCAATGCATTAGTTTGTTGGGCATCACATTTCCTTATGGAAAGAGGGGGGGACTTAGTCCCAAGACCCATTCTCTATTACATCTATTTATAACATGATACAGTCCATCAGCCACAGGTTTCGTATACTACTTAATGACTTCCAGTGATCGATTATCTTTGGCAGTGGCTAATTGCACTTGAATGCAGGCTACCAAAATAGTTAGCAGATGATCCCATCACAGGAGAATATTTCAAAGCTCATAGAGTAGCTACCTTTTTGTAAGACATTTCTCTTTTATTAAACAATGCTTGTTTCCCTTACCTTCAATCATTTCTTGCTATCTTCCCCCATTCCCTTCCCCATCCACATTTACTTAAAATACGTATATTTCATTGGAATGGGGACTAAAAACCTTGGACTTTGTTAAATACACCCCTATAAAGGTAAAGGACCCCTGACAGTTAAGTCCAGTCACGAACGACTCTGGGATTGTGGCACTCATCTCACTCTATAGGCCGAGGGAGCCAACGTTTGTCCACAGACAGTTTTTTTCTGGGTCATGTGGCCAGCATGACTAAGCCGCTTCTGGCGAAACCAGAGCAGTGCACGGAAACACCGTTTACATTCCCGCTAGAGCGGTACCTATTAATCTACTTGCACTGGTGTGCTTTCGAACTGCTAGGTTGGCAGGAGCTGGGACAGAGCGACGGGAACTCACCCCGTCACGGGGATTCGAACCGCCGACCTTCTGATCGGCAAGCCCTAGGCTCAGTGATTTAGACCACAGTGCCACCCGCGTCCCTCACCCCCATCTATGGAATGCTCTCCCCAGGGAAATTCGCCTGGCGCCTTCATTATACACCTTTAGGCGCCAGGCAAAAACGTTCCTTTTTAACCAGGCCTTTGGTTGATTTGATTGACATCCTACGCCCTTTTAAATGTGGTTCTTTTTTGGGGGGGTTACTGGGTTGTTGTTTTTATTTTGATTATATATATTGTGCTTGTATATTTTGTTTTGTTCTGTGAACCGTCCTGAAATCTCTGGGTTTAAGGGGGGGGTGTATAAATTCAGTAAATAAATAAATAAAATAAAATAAAATAAAATAAAAACCCATGTCCAAGGTAAATGTCTGAAGTGGGTCTCTGTCAACAAAGGAAAGTTTCATATGCAGGAAATCTAGTGAACCTTTACTCATAACTTGAGTGTACTGTTCATTTTAATATCAAGCTTGCTGGTCACTTGATTTTTCTGCAAGTGGTGCGTTTGTTTCTGATATAAAGCTGTAGGTGGTGTGCATAAATTCTAAAAACGAATAAAATATTATCTGTGTTGCAGCCAGCTTCAGGAATGCCTCATTTTAATACCTTCATAACTCAGGGAAATTGTTTGTAACGTTAACATTTTAATTGTTATTTTTTTTTTATTTTTTTAGTATCATCAGCCTGCTAAAGCTGTTTGGCTTTGCAATCCAATTGTTTTCCTATCTCCCCCCACTCTGTAATATATTCTGCAATATTTGTTAAGCACGCTAGCATGACTAAATAGCTTAAAGCAGCTTTCTTTATTACATTGCATCAGCTGCAGTGTGAATCTCAGTATTGACTTTACATAAAATATTTTCACATAAAGAAGTCGGCATCATAATATGCTGTCAGCTTTACTTATTTATTTATTTATTTTAAGATTCATGTCTAAGAGATTGAAAAAAGGATACATGTGCGTAGGCTAGCACTTTTTCTACTCCTCCCCAAAAGCCATGGCCTTGACTGAGAAAAACAAATGTGTTAAGAAGAAGAAGAGTTTGGATTTGATATCCCACTTTATCACTACCCGAAGGAGTCTCAAAGCGGCTAACATTCTCCTTTCCCTTCCTCCCCCACAACAAACACTCTGAGGTGAGTGAGGCTGAGAGACTTCAGAGAAGTGTGACTGGCCCAAGGTCACCCAGCAGCTGCATGTGGAGGAGCGGAGACGCGAACCCGGTTCCCCAGATTACGAGACTACCGCTCTTAACCACTACACCACACTGGCTCTCTTTGCAAACTTGCAATTAAAGAACTTTGCAAAGTGCAATTAAAGAGGTCTAAGGGTGAAATCCTATAGCAAGATCTCCTGGGAAGAGAGGAGGAGTTAGATCCAGTGGATCTATGCCTGAACTGGAAGGTTCCCTACACACCTGAGCTACACCAGTGTAACTCCCTATCCTTGGCTCAATGAGAGATATGTTGGCACATCTCCCCTATTGAGGCTGAGCTATTGGGACCTAGCTGGCTGAGCTGAGCCCACTAAATTTTAAGACAGGATAAGTACTGAATAAGGGGTGTTATGGGCACATGGAGGGGGCAGGACTAGAGAGGGAAGGGACCTAGTATGGATCCTAAGCCCATTCAGCTCAGTTGTACAACCTGGGAATCCAGCATAAGTTAAGGTAAAAGGTAAAGGACCCCTGGACAGTTAAGTCCAGTCAAAGGCGACTATGGGGTTGCATTGCTTATCTCGTTTTCAGGCTGAGGGAGCCAGCATTTGCCCACAGACAGCTTTCCAGGTCATGTGGCCAGGATGACTAAACTGCTTCTGGTATAATGGAACATCATGACGGAAACCAGAGCACATGGAAATGCCGTTTACCTTCCCGCCACAGCGGTACCTATTTATCTGCTTGCACTGGTGTGCTTTCGAACTGCTAGGTTGGCAGGACCTGGGACAGAGCAACGGGAGCTCATTCAGTCATGAGGATTTGAACCACTGACCTTCTGATTGGCAAGCCCAAGAGGCTCAGTGCTTTAGACCACAGCGCCACCCGTGTCCCTTTACTCGGGCAAGTGGGGTGGTGTAACTCAAACACTGTTTTAATCACTTGTTTTCATGCTGCTTAAACCAGCCATGGCCCTCCAATTTTGAGTCTGAGTCCTGCCTACTTTGCTGTGACTTAGCTTAACTTTGCATCAGCTTCTTGTGTGTAGGATTACCCTCTTCATGAGCTCTGCACTTTCCTCTGAAAGCCATTTCACCCTGGATGCACCTTCAGCCACCTCACCCAGACTCTGCCTGCAAATACAGATCTGCTAAAATTCCTTTAGATAATAAAAACGCCACTGAAAATGTGGACCAACTGCTGTATTTATTTCATTGTTGTGGCCATTGGCAGTATAAAATCATACACAGGTGTTTTTGTTTTAAATGGAAATACATGTTCATATGCTGATGGGGAAGACTTGTGAAGCTGGAATAAAGGCCATGCAATTCACATGTAGCAAAAACATTCTTCTCCATTAGCTTGTGATTCCTCTTGCTCTGGGTCTGGTGGGGTGGCTGAGTATGGAATAGAAATCCTACTTTATATAACACCAAATCCTTTCACTTTAACTCTGCAGTGGCTGAACTACAAATCTGCTTTTAAAAATTTCATTTCCTAGAAGAAAAAAAACACACCTTGGTGAAGCTGGCTACATAAAAGATATCATGCCTACCTACCAGGTATCTCCCGTTTTATGAGACTAATGCTGCAAACCTCTATACAGCCAGATTATATAGTATCATTTTATTGGTTGCTTTATAGGGAACAGCTATAGTGACAGTCAAGAGTTCATGAATGTTTCCTTTAGCTTTCATTTCACTGCATTACATACCAATGATTTTTTGAAGGAAGGAAGGAAGGAAGGAAGGGGTTTGTGGCTGTTACAGTGTTGCACATACTCTGTGCCTCAACACTCTTCCAAATGCTTTTTATCCACTGTTCAATAAAACCAGATGGTAAAGCTTTCCTGGACTGTACACAGGGGCAGAGTGATATTTAATAAATTCTACCCACAAAAACATCTACCTGCATATACAAAGTAGAATTCAGTTTGCCTTTCTCGATGTAGAGTTGTATCCAGTGCTTTTTCTTCTTCTAAAAAACAAAGTTTAAGGGTACTCTCAAGAAAATCACCATTTTATAGTTTAAATTGGGAAAAATAAATACAGTAAATGGACAAAAGTACAAAGAACATGCATTACCTCATATTACACAGCTGACAGCCAAACTATCATCAGTAAAACACCACACATCCACATTCCACACTGCTTAACACATTAAATGCTCCCTTCCATCTGAGACTCAGGAAACACCGGGACTGGAAATGAGGCCGCCATCGGAGGTAGCAACAGAACTGACGATTCACCATGCTAGAGAAGAAACTAAATTTTTTTAAAAATTTTGTTTCTTCTTCCTTTAGATCACAAAATGTTTAGGGGTACACATCCCCCTGCATCCCCCCAGATACTGGTTGTATCTAATTAAACCACAGAGCCTAGGGCTTGCTGATCAGAAGGTTGGTGGTTCGAATCCCCACGACAGGATGAGCTCCCGTTGTTCGGTCCCTGCTCCTGCCAACCTAGCATTTCAAAAGCACAAAGTGCAAGTAGATAAATAGGTACCGCTCCGGCGGGAAGGTAAACGGCGTTTCCGTGCACTGCTCTGGTTTGCCAGAAGCAGCTTAGTCATGCTGGCCACATGACTGTATGCCGGCTCCCTCAGCCAGTAAAGCGAGATGAGCACCACAACCCCAGAGTCGTCCTCGACTGCACCGAATGGTCGGGCGTCCCTTTACCTTTACGTTTACTCTAGCTATTTAAATTAATGAAGATGACACAACTAACTTAGGTCTATTAATTTCAGTGGGTCTACTCTGAGTAAAACTAAGTTAGATTATAGAATCAAAGAATGGTACAGTTGGGAGGTACTTTGAGGGCCATCAAGTCCAACCCCTTGCGATATGGGAATCTCAACAAAGACATTCATGACAGATGGCCTTCTAACCTCTGCTTGACAACCACTGTGAAGCAGATTTCAACACTTTCCTAGGGAGCCCATTTTGTTATCAAACAGAAAGTTCTTTCTGTCGTATAATCAGAATCTCCTTTCTTGTACATTCAAATAAACACACACAGCACACTTGTAAAACCACTTTCCAGAACAGTGTAAGATGCTTTTTATTCAATTTGTAAAATATTGATGTAACTCAGAAATAAGTTCAAGGAAGTCGCGGAAGGCTCCAGCAATTGATTCATCTCGGTGAGTTGGGAGAAGCAGGTGAAAGTAGCCAAAAGTGAAAGCGTCTACTCTACTTTTAACATTATGGGGATGCCGTAGAGCCCCCTCCACATTTATGTCTTGACGGAACAGATGAAAAGGATTGTTGAACCATGAAGGATAGCCTTGCCTGTGAGTTTGACTGGTGTGGGAAAGCGATGTGTGCACCTAGATTTCCTCCACATGGGGGGAGGGGAGCTCTGGCCCAATCAGGGCCCTTTGTCATGTGGAGAAGCTTTGTATGTATATACATCTCCTTCACATGTCTACCAAACATATAGGTGGGGGAGATGAGGCTATAGCATTTAAAGACAAAGTTACCTAATTCGCACTTTTGAAAATAATACATAAAGCAAAGCATCACTTTGCAATTTGCACTTCTCTGAATTTTGTAATGCAGTTCTCCTGCCAATAAATGGGTACAAAGATGGATATGTTAAGGTGAGGTGTCCGTCCAACTGCAGATATTAGTGAATAACATATGAATAATGCATTCTATTAAAGGGAATTGCTTTGCTAATATGTGTATGTTAGGCAAAATTGCATGCAGGAGCGTCTCTATTAGGAAAAATGTACACTAAAATTATGAATTTTCATGAGATTTTTTAAAAATGCAAACTGATGCGTTAGGATATGAAAAATGACAAATGGAGAGAAACCAAAACTGACAGATTCATCCATCTCTAGGTAGAGTTTGCCCATGCAGCCACATTACCCACCCCCCTCCACATGATCTTTCAGTACAGGGGGTGTTGCTTGAATCTTAGCTTTGGGATGAAAAGCTAGAGGGGAACAGAAAATGAATTCAAAAGAATACATTCCATGCTTGCAACTAGGCTTTTGCCTCTGTGAATTATTTGATCCAGAAATATAGATTTGGGCATGATGGAAAGGATATCCTCAATGTGTTTACTTTGGTAGTCAGTTTCATCGTGATGCCTTCTTTCTTTTGGTTGTGTTTTGATTTCTGTGATTGGATCCATAGTGAAGAACAAAACTGGCCAGAGCTGGTGGTTTAAAATCAGGAATGGCTGGAGGATTGGAACTTGCCTGGAGCTCCTGGCTGAAGGAAGTTGGGTCTGTGTGTGTGTTAAAAAAAAAATAATCATGAAAATTCACCATTTGCATTTCAGTGCAAATTTATCCTGATAAACGGATTTCTCCAATATACACATTTTTGCATGCAATTCCCTTGTATAAAATGCAGTTTCACCTTATATTCACTAATAAAGAGATTTTTTTCTGCACGTTTCCTCATTAATATACTCATTTATGGTCAGAGTTCTGCACCATTCTAATGAGTGTCAATTTCAAAGGACTGCTGTGTTTCAACACATGTATCTGATTGAGTGAGTGAGTGAGTGAGTGACTCAATTTATATGCCACCCTTCATCTGAGCATCTCAGGGCCGTTTACAGTATAAAACCACAAAAATACATAACATTATAACAAAACAATAACTACCTCCACCCCACAGTCTAAAAGGCCATAGATGGTTTAATTAGCCAAAAGCCGGGTAGAAGAGGAATGTTTTTGCCTGACACCTAAAGATGCATACAGAATGTGCCTCCCTGGGAGGAGCATTCTAGAAATGGGGAGCCACCACCAAACAGGCCCTTTCTCATGCTGCCACCGTCTAGTTTGTATTCGTTTGAGAAGTTCTAATTAGGTAGTTTCTCATTAAAATGCAAACAACACTGAAATTCTGCCTCATATTTCTTTTTCATTTAGTGTGCCTTGAGCAATTATTTATCTGTTGCTTGTCTGTTTTTTTTTTTTTTCCTTTTCCATTTTGCTTTGTCTTGAGAATTGAACAGGGGATTTCTGCTTACTCTCTGGTTACATTAACGTGCGCGGGTGTTGTTTTCTTGACTGTAACCATGCACCCGCACTTTCATTAATGTATCCACAGAGTTAACACATCTGTGTTGGATTATGTGCTTGACGTTAGGTAATGGGTATGGCTTGTCGACACTGAAGGATCTGCTTTAGGAAGTATCTGAGTGATATACAGGATACTTACTTAGACATGTAATAGGCTGCAATTTTCCTATTAAATGAGATGAGATAAAAGGAAATGGATTTGAGGAGGCTGGGTCAAAAATAGTTTGTCTTGTTAATAGATTAAGTGACAGAACTATCAAAGCTCATGGTAGATATGCAGTTACATTTATGAGTGCAGTGAAGCTCACTATGTGTGATGTTAAGTATGAGATGTATTCTGTTTTAAACCCCTGAGGTCTGGTTCACACACAGCTCCAGCATGAAGTGTTTCCATGTAGTGGGGCACAAGAATGAACTGTTCTTGTACTATGCAGACAACCAGAGCTTTTTTCCCCCAGAAGGAACTCACAAGAACCCAGTTCCAGCACCTCTCAGGTGGGTTCTGGCACCTCTCAGGTGACAGCCACTGCCTTTCTAACAAAATGAGGGAGGTATTCATGGTGAGTTCTGGCACCTCTTTTTCTAGAAAAATAGCACTGCAGATAACCTTCAGTGTCAACCGAAACCTACATGTCTATCAGAGTAGGCCCAGTTCATATGATTTATCTGCTGTGAAAAGGGAGCAGGTATGTTTTACAGGTAGGACCTCCTTCATATCAGCATTTGCAAGCATGGGCTTGAGTTTTGCTCCTGTTCTCACACTGCCTGCATTTGAGGCTATTGTGAGACAAAACACAGAGACAAAAATGCCCATGAACTAATATAAAAAACTAGAAATTACTTGAAAGTACTAAATAGGCCCGGAAGCTGTACGCCAGCTCCCTCTACCAATAAAGCGAGATGAGCACCGCAACCCCAGAATCGGTCACGACTGGACCTACTGGCCTAATGGTCAGGGGTCCCTTTACCTTTACCTTTACCTTTACTAAATAGGCCTAGGATTAAATTAGGATCTAACTAAATAAATGGGAACTAGAACAGTAAGAAAATGAATAAATTAGATTATAATTGGAATATTGTTGTTTAATAATAATATTGGAAAGCTGTTACATTCAGATACAAGGAAACTCAGAAGGGAGGGACTAGAGGAAGTCAATTACAGTGGTACCTCGGGTTAAGTACTTAATTCGTTCTGGAGGTCCGTACTTAACCTGAAACTGTTCTTAACCTGAAGCACCACTTTAGCTAATAGGGCTTCCTGCTGCCGCCATGCGGCTGGAGCACGATTTCTGTTCTCATCCTGAAGCAAAGTTCTTAACCTGAAGCACTATTTCTGGGTTAGCGGAGTCTGTAACCTGAAGCGTATGTAACCTGAAGCATATGTAACCTGAGGTACCACTGTAATATGTTTATAAGGTTGGGTTTTTAATCAATTAAGTTTGTTTTTATTGTTTATTCGTTTACTGTTGTCTTCTTTAATGTATTTTTTTTGTTTTTGTCTTAGTTTGTTCTTCTGTTACGCAATATTTCTTACAATTGTGGAAAATTTAATAAAAATTATTGGGGGGGGGGAATGCCCACAAACTGTCTAAAGGAAGAGATGGCCAGTTTTCAAGTGACCTCTTGTGCTGTGCTGGTGTTGGGTTAGGGAATTTTAAACATCTGGCATACAGACATCTTATTTCAGCTGAATCACTTTCAGAACTGCATTAAGAAAAGAGAGAGAAGGCTGAACAGGAGAGGTCTCGGAGGATGAGACCCAATTTAGGGGGCTTCCATTTTCAAAAGAAAGTCGTGAAGCAATCGAAGCTAAAGAAGTGAACAGAATGGGTGTTTCTGGGAATTATTTATGACGGCGGTATGAGGCATTTGCATTTGCTTCTTGTTCTGCGCTTCAAAATCTGTGACTCATCTTTCCCTTTGTGTTATCTCAGGAGCATTTAATCTGATGGAACATGTGTGTCAGCTCTTGGTGGTACATCAGGCACTCATTACTTTGGGGGCAATTTGCAGCCAGTTCTAGCTTTGTGTTAATGCCTTCCTGGGGGCTTCCTGTAAGCCAATTTGTGCATAATTGCATCTGTGTGTACACATGGGTTGTTTGGCCTTTTTAAAGCTAACATTAGCTATAATTAAAAAGCAATCTGCACTAGGCCTCTGTTGCTTTCGGGTAGGGAAAGGAATGTATTGGAATTTCCTCCACCCCCATAGTGAGAGAAATATTGGTGTGCCTATGGAGGGGAGGTCAGGTTTCTCACTGATGCCATGCATTCTTTGGTCCCATGTTCAACAGCACTATTGTTTGGTGTTCCAGATTCTGGATGAGTTTTTGTGTACATAGCTGTAAGTGTGAAAGCCCCTTCTCTACATACATGAAGCCCCATGGAGGACCAAGTCACACCCTCCAAATGCCCTGAAAATACTAAAATTGTCACAAAAACAGTTAAGCCATCACAGCTTCTCACTTTTTCACAGAGTCCCAAATTCCCAAGAAACGCATTTCAGCATGTTACTAGAGGTTCAGGTCCATGTGTCCCTCCTAACACATTTCTTATATTTGTGTCTCCCATTTCCCTCCCCTCCCCCGCTCAGTATGACATCACTTCCTGTTTTTTTATGAAAACAAGATATGGGTCGTTTGAATGCCACTATGCAAGTTTTTCACCATTTCCCCACTCCTCGCTCTTTCAGGCTCCCATAAAAGCAGTGGGTTGAGGAGGAAAGAGGGAGTTGTTTCTATTACCCAGCATTCTATCATCACAGTGGGCAATAAGAACCCTTTGGAAATCCCACAAGCAGGACCTGGATGGGAAAGCACTCTTCTCACTTTTTTGATTCCCAGCAATTGATTTGGCATTTTGATGCCAACAACAGTGTGCAAAAATAAAAATAAAAAAATCTTGTATGCAGGAGAAATGCTGATCCCACAATGGTATCCATGTGGAAGCACCCAGCCTTCCATTAGCCCTCTGCAATCATGTTACATCAAGATGGCTGTGGCAGGAAAAGCCTAAATTTCCAGTTTCCCACATAATCCAGTTTCCTTGAATGGGAATGCATGGATTTGAAGAATTTTGAATAGCTATTTCCTTCCAATATCTGCTCTCCTGTAAGATTTGAAAGATTCAAAACCTGGTAATATGTTGTGTTTTGTATGATTATTATTATTGTTGTTGTTATTATTATTATTATTATTATTATTTCTTGTTTATACCTCGCCCATCTGTCTGGGTTTCCCCAGCCACTCTGGGCAGCTTCCAACAAAATATTAAAATACAACAGTCCGTCAAACATTAAAAGCTTCCCTAAACAGGGCTGCCTTCAGATGATTTAGGGATATGGCTTTTTGCTATACCCTTCTCTGAGCCTTTTGGATAAGGCAGGCTGAATATTATAAATACATAATTCAGAGTCCCTCATGTGTAGGGGCTCCCATTACTCTTCCGTAGGAAGAAAAATCAAAGTATGCACATGATAATGTATGAGTGTGTGCGCACAGTGCTCCCATGAATCTGAGCATGGGGGATTTCTTATACATTTGAATAAGAAAAAGCAAGCTGTTGCCGTGAGCTGTCAGGGGAAATCTTTCATGTGATAAGATTGCCATTTAATCACAACTTGTCATAGGCTGTGGGGAGCGTTCCCATGCATGTTTGGACACAGGTAAATCTAAATCTGATCACATGGTAGCATGTTCAGAGTAATGCTTCAGCTTAAGAGAATGACGAGGAAGTCACTTTATGATGACTCTATCATTAATTCTTACATAAACCTATCCATGATCTATCTTGAAGCTAAGATTGTAATTGTGGACAACATTCTGAGAGGTGGAAAACCTATTTGCATTCCCTGATGACCAAGCTGCTATGGGAAGCACATCCTGAACCATATAATATGTGGATCCTCTATTCACACCCTGTCCGGTGCTATTTTTCTAGAAAAAGAGGTTCCAGAACTCACCTTGAATGCCTTATTTGTTCTCTTATAATGGCAATCGCACCCACCTGAGAAGTTCTGGCGAGTTTCAGCGGGGGGGGGGGGGGGAGCCAACAGTCAGAATTTCTGAGGAAAACAAAAGGGGTTGTTTTGAGAGAATATTACAGCCACCCTAAAAGAGTATGGTACAAGTTGAAGAGCCTCGCATTTTCCTTGGAACGTGATTCTTGAGCTGATATAATTGAAATTATATTACTGTAACTGAGGAACGAACCCAATTCATGCCCCGATAACTCATATGATGCAACCCCAGATAGCAATTTTATCGTTGGAATTAAATATACCTCATATGTGAGCTGCTTTAATTGACCACAACTCTGAGAGAAGAGCTATAGATTTTACCATTTTATTTTAATAAGTTGAGATCAATGACCTAAAAATAACCAGACTGTTATACAGTATAGGAGAATACAAATGGATTTTTGTTTATTTTTGGATCCAGGCTTAGGCTGTTCTTTTAGCTTGTCCCCAGGTATCTGTGATGCCTCAGAGAGGGAATAAACAGCTTGTAGAATGAGTTACTGTACCTTTCAGAATGATAAAAGTACAGTTGTTACTCATTAGTTGTGAGGGGACCAGGCCTTTCCTCAAGGTAGTACTTCTGTGGCAGAGATACAACTTTTTACCAGCATTTGATCTACAATATTTTGTCTCTGGGAAAATGCAATTTTCCCCCAGCTAGCCATCAGTTGTAACTGGGAAATGTGGAACATGACTGTGTGCATGTCATCGACCCTTCTCTGATGGTGCCTGTAACATTACTTGTGATAGATAACACATCTCCTTCATCCTCCCACCACTTTATGAACCTCTATATATGCACTATATATACACAACTTCATAATATTTCTCACCATATTGATCAAATATAATGGAGCTAAATTTCTCAAACGCTACCAATTTGAGTGTCCCCTCCCACTGGTTCTGATTGAGTAAGGGATTTTCTCTTGGGAAGTCTCTTCAGTTATATCCACCCTAAATAAATAAGATGCACATTAAGAGCTTCACATTTTAAGCAACTCAAGTCAACTTATATCTAACATAATTGATTTCATAAACCCTTTTGCTCTTAAGACTATTTGTATTCAGTCATTTTGAACATTGTGCTATTCTCCAGTGGCACTGGCGCATTCCCTTTTTTAAAAGCAACAAATATAAGCACTCCTTTCCAACATAGAGATAGGCTTGAGTAGATGGGAGTGTTAGATGGGGACATGAGTTCAAACTCTTCTCTTATCATATAGAGTAAGAACAAGACAGAGCTGGGAAACCCCAGTCTTCAGTGGGGTAGGCAATTTATTGATTTCCGAAAGGCCACTTTATGACTCTTTGCCTAAACCTCTTTTATCACTGAACATTGTGAGTTTTGATAACTGCAGTAAAAACAACATATTTCGGCAAGTCCTCAACCTAAATCAAAGGGCACTACATTCATAATTTTAGACCCTTAAGAAACCATAGGCTCAGGGGTCAAATGAGATCCTCCAGACCGCTCAATTTTGCCCTTGGGACTTTTCCAAAGATGTGGGTCCTCATCCTCAGATGCACACCTTTCCTCAAATCACATCCCTCAGCAACCCAACTTTGCATCCTTCTTGAATGTTTTTGCTTGGCTGAAATGTCTTCTTGAAGACTGATCATGTCTCTTGCTTGCTTGGGTGATGGATAGATAAGGCTATGAAACTAACCTACCGTTCAAAGGTAAAATTTACAGCTATTGCTCCACACACTTTTGCCCCTGGTTCCCTTCACCACTGGCTTCCGGCCTCTTGAAGGTTGCTCAAAGGGAATGTGTCCTTCGAGCTGATGATTCCCTACTCCTGCATTAGTTAAATGCCCCTCAGACGGGAGGCAAGATAAGAGGTGGTAAGGATCAGAGAGCTCTCTGTCATTTCATTGTGCCTGTCTACTCTAGGTACTATGTCAAACTTACTGAGAAGTTCTTTTTGAAGAGGTGCTGAATGGTAGCACTGAGAAATTTAGGAGCTTGCCTTCTGAGAAAACTGCCCATCCAGTGGTTGATGGATTCTGTGAAACATAAAATAGAATATATGTTAGACTTGCTTCAGTAACTTTATGCTCAAGACAGTTGATGTAAATGCAAATTTGGAGTAGCTGTCCTTTCCAAGATCCCATCTGTGGATATAAATTTATGGAAGACAGTATTCTGAGGGGAAATGCAAAGAATTACAAAGACACTCCACTTGGGCCACTGGGAATGAGCTTCATCTGTTGATGTAACTGATGCATTTATGTATGTTTTGTGATAGATTTAATTGATATTTAGCAAACAGGGGGTCCAATCCAGCTAAAATTAATCAGTTTTAATGCTCAACTTTAAAGATTAAGGATGTGCATAACTTTCCTGTTGAAAGCAGTGGGTCTTAAATGTGCTTAAATTTGACAGGTTCTTGCAGTAAACCTGCATTAATGTCCAATAAACTACCATTGTCACACGATAACTATCACTATGGGCATAGCTTCCTGCTCCACTCTCTTTAATCTGTGCTTATCACATAGGCAAGCTAACTTGCTTTAGCATCTATTGTTGTATCCAACTAAATTCTACTCAGAATAGATGTATGAAAATGAATGGTTCTAGGTTAGCAACACCCATTAATTTGAAGGGGTCTACTCTAAGTAGAATCATCATTGATACAAATCTATGCTTTTTTCTTGCTGATTATAAATACTTTTAAAATGGCATGTAAAGGAGTCCTGCAAGGGCAAAATTTGTGGAAGAGAGTGAGGTGTGGCTGCACCAGCCTTTGCCAACTCCTCAGTGCCCTCCAGAGGTTTTGGACTAACTCTCATGGGAAAACATCTGGTGGGCACAAGGCTAGTGAAGGGCTGAGTTATGTAACATCTCAGCAACTTGAATTGGCCCATGTTTCTTCTCTGAACTCCAGGCAATCATTTATTTCTGGTGTTCCAAAGGAAGAGACTCTGAACAGACTCAGGAACACATCTGCAGTATTTTGTCAGTAATGCAGAACTGAGTGTGACTTTTCTGACCCATGCTACTCCAGTGTAGCAGATTTCCTTTTTACTCATTAAAAAAACTCCTCTGGTTCATGAGGTGATAAGTGGGAGTGCTGGTCTTTAAGTAGTTGTATCCTTTACCTCCTCTTTGCTATGTTCAATCCTGTCTCTTTTCTCCTTCATGCTTCCAGCCCTCCTTGCTTTAGAAAGTGAAGGGTTTGTTGTTCCATCATAATTCCTCTTCAGGCTTTCTTTCCACTCCACTTCAGTCTCTGGCCTGCTTCATCCAGGAGTTACAAGGTAGATCCAGGAAACTCAAGGACCCTGTGCTTCCTTGTAGTCCTCTGGAGATAAAACAAGAAGCAACTCTTGCTCTTTGAATAGCAAGATTAGTGTTTTAGATTAGGATGCTCCCCCCTGACAGTTTTTCATGGACTCAATGCAACTCATGCTTGGAGGTTGGTGCAGGGTCCACGCAACATCACCATCAGTGTGCCCCCATTTATACTGGATTTAATGTTTCCATGTTTGTATTTTAAGTTAACAATGTCCCACAGAAATGCTATATCCCAATTAAATGGGAACAAATATGGGACAGCATTTTGATAAGAGTGGTGTAGTGTGAACACTGCACTACACTTGCTTGCTCAAGCAGCTCTGAGTCCACATTACTGTCTTCACGAGCTCTATCTAAGCTTTATTCAGAGTAGGCCCATCAAAATTTATGGGCCTAAGTTAGTCATATGCATTCATTTCAGCAGGACCACTTTGAATAGGAATGGCCTTGGATACATCCCGACAATAAGAGCATATCAAACTAAAACAAGATGCCAAGGATGTTGCAGACTGTTCTCTTTTGTAGGTTTTGGAAGAATGTCTGGTTCTGTTGTGTGGTTGTCATAGCAGTGACATAGACTTATTGACTCATGAGTTCATTCTACCTTTTAAGATTCTACAGTACCAACTATTAATAGTTTTACTGAGCTACTATATTGTTTGCTGGATGATCCAACTTCTCTCCTTCCCCATTTTCCTGGACATTGCCCATGATGAATGCAGAGTACATACATGGCTATTGTGCCGAGTGGCATCCTTAGTGCTGAGACTTATAACTTGCTGTATTTCTATTTTTCTTCATATTGTGTCACTTTCTGTTTATTAAGTCTTTATGGTTCCCCAACTGCAGAGCCAAAAATATCCCTCATCTTATTTTCACTGGTGGAAGCACGTGCCCGAGACAGCGTTGCATTAACTACAGCCAGCTTGACAAGGTATAGGCATCATAGATCATATATGAGACTTTATTGCAAATCTACAGGAAATTAAGTTTTGAATGACTTATGGTGCTCCCTGCACAGTCATAGAGCCTAGCAGGAATTCAAGTCTCTGAGTCAGTTCAAACAGTTATCCATCTGATCACCTGCATAGTGTGGAGATTTGATATGCAACTCAACCTTTAATGGCTGTGTCCTGGCTATGCACCCAGGTTTTCTATTGGATCTGTTGATTCACATGGCATCAAGGCAATAAAGATAGAGTTCCATTTTGAGCCAAGTGGCATTTGGAACTACTTACTGAAATATTTGTTTTATGATTATTTAACTGAATGTATATCTCAGCCCATACCAACCCTCCTTACCTTTGGCCATCAAATGTCAATCTGGGTAAAGACAGCTTGTGTTACTTCCAGGAGATGTACAGTTTGGTGAGGCTCCTGAGGGAAAGAGGGTGTATAGCGGACAAAAGCATCAAGTATAAGCCAGAATATCCTTGGAACATTATCTACAGGTCTTTTATGAAGTTTAGTCTCTTGTGACTAAACTAAGACAAGTCAAGTCTCTATGCTTTAGCCCTACCATATATGACCATAACAACAACCTACTCTACAGAATAAGGATTATTGAAATAATTCTCTCAGCCTTTTAATGGGCTATATAAACTGCCAGGTGACATTCAGACAGAACTTTATTCAATTTTCCTGAATCTTCTTTACCTGATAAATTTCTACATTTTATTGGATCTTTCACATGATATAAAAACTTATTCTGGAAAACTAGCAGAACCTAGTGGAAGTTTAGCTCTGTTTCCATGTTATTTTCTTCCCTGAAAATTTGTGAGAATTTTGCATTGTAATTTCTCATGATGAAATCTAGGGTGCTGTTCTGACATGCAGTTCTTTCCCACCATTTAAAATTTGGTGCAACCTAGTACAGTGGTACCTCGGGTTAAGAACTTATTTCGTTCCAGAAGTCTGTTCTTAACCTGAAACGGTTCTTAACCTGAGGTACCACTTTAGCTAATGGGGCCTTCCGCTGCCACCACACGATTTCTGCTCTCATCCTGAAGCAAAGTTCTTAACCTGAGGTACTATTTCTGGGTTAGTGGAGTCTGTAACCTGAAGTGTCCGTAAACTGAAGCATCTGTAACCCAGGGTACCACTGTAGTATAGTGATTTTAAAAAGCCACAGTTCCATAACACAACAGGTAATTTAGTGCACTAGTGCAGTGCACCTGGGCCCTCAATCTGCAATGATGGAGAGCTCACTACTTCGTGCACCAGTCTGTTCCCCTTTCAAACAGCTCTTACTGTTGCAATGTTTCAGATAATCAGCTCCTTCCTTGTGAAATCTACCCATTGCCACTAACCCTGCTCTCGAAAGCAACAGAGAACAAGTCGGTTTCATATTCTGTGTGGCAGTTCTTCAGACATTTAAAGACAGCTCTCAATCTTACCTGACTTGCGTGACACATATGACCAAATGTTTTCTGAACACTGCCATAGAAAGTTATGTCTTCCAGTTCAGGGATCTGTATGCGTCGTCATAAACGAGCTGCCAAAGAAAACTCGACGCCATATTTCCTTCTCCTTTTCTGTGGGTTTGGCTCAATAATGTGAAAGCTACTTATTGACCCCATTCCTGCTATGACATGATTCACTTAGTACATCCAGGTTGAGATCCAGAATAGCAGACAATGGAGGGAGAGGAGAAGGAATGAGGCAAGAAAGATTAAACAATGGAGCAGAGTGTGGCTGATGAAAGCCTTCCTCTTCTTCTAAATATGTCTCACTCCAATGTTGAGGCAGAAGCTCCCAATCAGTCCCTTTGCCCCTTCTATGAAGGGGAGAGTATTATTGGAATCTGTGGGAGATAGTGCTGTTGAGCTCCAGGCCACAGTTTGGGATGGCAGAGTGGGATTCATAGGTGGAAGTGAGTCCAGCATTGTCTCTGGGGCAAGGAGATGCCTTAGAAGAAGGGAGGAGGTGTGTCCACCTAGACATAGTTGGACACTTATGGAATAGGGATTCCCACGAGTACATGGGTACTCCCCACCTCTGCTTATAAGTTTGACAGGTGGCCGTGGAAACTTGTTGGAATAACTCTGAAGCTCCTAGGCAGTCTTGACTTCCTTTGTTGCAAATTTTGGACTCATGAAGCTTGGGTTTGTCCCAGACTTATCCCCACCATCCCTATGTCTTGTAAGAGTCGCTGGGTTTTATGTATTTGGATCCTTATCAGCTGTTAAGTCTGTAGAGTCACTCTGCTTTAATAAAGATCACTTTCTTTCTCATAAGGAAGCACACCTGTTGTCATGTGTTGGGTGGGAGTCAGAAAACTCCCTCTCCTGCTAATGTACAGTTTGGGGTTTATGTACTTGAACAGATGTACCCACAGAGGTTAGGGGTGAGATCAGTGTACATAATCCCACTGCTTCCTCAGTATATGCTTAGGAGAAGGTCTAAAAGGGGCTGTGGTTTAAATGATCAGGCATGGTGTTTGGAGAGAGTGGGGGCACTGTCCTGTATTAGGGTAGGGCTTGTACTTGATGGTTTTATCTGTTTTATCTTTGTTTAAGAAAAGCATATATAGTGTGTCCTTCACCCAAAGGTTGCAGGGTTTATAAGATGTTTTGGCACTCTGCTTCTGTATTTTCACAGAAAAAGCATGGTCCAAACCAAGTTAAGGAGTGTAGAGTGCCATTGATTTCAGTGAGGAAGTTTAAACCTGTCATTGAAATCAGTGAAATGTGTGAAAGAGGTAACTGTAGCTGGATTTTGCCTGATCCTATGTGTGTTTGTTCAGAATAGAGTCCCTTTCTTTTAGTGGTGCTTACTTCTAAATGGGTATGAGATTATGACTAAGGGTTTACTCAGAGTAAGGTAAAGGTACCCCTGCCCGTACGGGCCAGTCTTGACAGACTCTAGGGTTGTGCGCTCATCTCACTCTAGAGGCCGGGAGCCAGCGCTGTCTGCAGACACTTCCGGGTCACGTGGCCAGCGTGACAAAGCTGCTCTGGCGAACTGGCACCAGAGCAGCACACGGAAACGCCGTTTACCTTCCCGCTATAAAGCGGTACCTATTTATCTACTTGCACTTAAGGGTGCTTTCGAACTGCTAGGTGGACAGGAGCTGGGACCGAATGACGGGAGCTCACCCCGCCGCGGGGATTCGAACCGCCGACCATGCGGCCGGCAAGTCCTAGGCGCTGAGGTTTTACCCACAGCGCCACCCGTGTCCCTATTACTCAGAGTAGACCCATTGAAATTAATGCACCTAACTTAGCCATATTCATTCATTTCCATGAGTCTACTCTGACTACAAGCTTAGTTGACTACCCGGTACCTAAGTGTTGAACAAAAGTTTGGCTAAATAATCATCTTAATAATAGGAGTATAATATATATTCCTAGTTGGTCCAGTATCTATATTTGCATAGCTCCGATCAGTATTTAGAAACATCTAAGATGAATTGTTTCATTATCTAAAGCTGGAATATAGGCTGTGTTGATCAGCATATAGAACTCCCATTAATGGTGATACCATACTACTCAATAACTTATTCCAATCCGTTCATCCTGAAATGATTAATACTGCTTCTCCAAGCACAACTGCTCAAAGAGACAGAAAAGAGTAATAGTCCCTTGATTGTAAAGCTTCTTTGAAACAAAAACCGAGATGCAGAGAGATTATGCATTAGAGTTAAAGTGATGACAAGCTATACCCAATAACTTTTCATAGCACTACTAAACCTTAATTGTTCTAAGCAGAGGTATTGCGGGAGAAAAATGTGTACACTATTTGCACACAGGGAGGAGTCTAGTAATGGCTTTTATGATGACATATCTTCAAATGGTAAAATGCTTCTTCCATTTATAGGGCATAAAAAACACATAAGAAGGCGAGGAAGCCTGTGGGTTTAAATGACTTAAGCTGTTATATATTTTATACCAGTTTCCAGACTTGAAAACACCACTGCATTTTATCCTTCAGGATTTTGTATGAGACAGACAAAATAAAATACTTCTAGGCACATAGTTAAGTTATGGGATTTAGTGCCACAGGGTGATGATCATTAAGGTTTCCATCCAATACCGTGAGTTTTCTCTCCTCCCTATGTGTCCCAAAAATCTACTTCAGAGAGTCCCCTACTCCTCCAGTGCTGATTTTGAATAGAAATAACAATAATATAAACAAATACTATGATTCTATGAATAAATACAGTGGACCCTCCAGATACAAATTTAATTCATTCCTGGGGTCCGTCCGAACCCTGAAAATTCTGTAAGTAGAGGCACCGCTTCTGTGCACATGCATAGAGTGATAGAGCGCTTCTGCGCATGCACATGCGGCAAAACCTTGGAAGAATACACTTCCGTGTTTGCCTCATTCGCAACCTGAAAGGGTCCACTGTAATATAAATACAACTGAATCCAAGGGCACCATTAATTAATTCCTGACATGAATCAAGGGTTGAGTGCACAGGTATCTCTTTAACAAAAGCTGAAATAGTATCACCATTGGCACTTACCAGAGCTACAATGGGAAGTGATTCAATAGGAAGGGGGGGCCATTACAGAGAAGGCCTTACCTCTGGGTGCTGCTAAGCGATGTTGCAGCACAACCACGCTAAACTGAATATGAATGGCCCTCCATGTGTATTTTGAATGTTCACAAAGGAGCTGTAGAAATGTACTATGTAAAGAGGGCTGGTTACTGCTCTGGTGCACAGTCAATACTCCCATGTGCTTGCATATTTCAGGGCAAGATGGGTAGCTGTGGAAGGATCTTATTACTGAGAGCATCTGAAGGATCCCACTTTGCAAATCTCTGCTATAGGATATAGAAATGAGGTAGATACAGTCAACCTTTAAAAAGAAATGCTGTATTGTCTAGTTTCCCCAGTGTGCACAGAAAAGTCTTAAATGCTGAAATGAGTTTCTGAGCTGCTTGACAATATTGCAAAGAACGACACTGCCTTTT